TTTTGTATCACTGTGGTTGAGTGCCACCATACAGAACACTTAACATTCTACAGCGCTCACACATTGTTGTTTTTTTTTTTACAGTTTTGGCAATGTCCAATGAGGGAGATTTAAAGGATTAGTGATGTAGTGGTTAGCCCAAAACATGAGTTAGTGTAAATACATGTTCTAAATTGGTATAATCTTGCTCAATAAAATGATAACTTGCCTGTATTAGGCTATTTGACCAAAAATAATAAATGAAAAGAATAAGGGTGTAGGATATGAACAAAATTATGTCAGAGAGTATTTTGCTAAGTGTTTGATGATAAAATAATTGTAGTATTTCACTAAATAGTGTAAGTAATATAGAATACTGGGAGTGCAGTAGGAGACTGCACTATAGATAGACAATGATCAAAGTACAGTAATAATATTGATAGTAAATCAAATATAATATATACAGTTGAGAGAGGGAACTAAGAATGGATGAAGGGGGTGAAGTTAAATTCTTAATTTAACCCCGTAGATGCCATTGTTTGGTATTTGTAGAAACATCTTGATTCCTTCATTAATAATTTCAAATTGAAATTGCCTTTGCGTGAGCCAAGAGTTAATTTCTCTATGGCTTGGAATTGTAAATTAACAGGATTAGCATTATGGAAGTTAATGAGGTGTCTGGCAATAGGGGTGGGGATTCCAGCATGAGTAACGGAATTGACGTGTTGTAAAATATGTCACCAGGATTCCGGATAAGTTTTTTTGTATTGTATGTATTGTAAGTTGCAGGAACAAGTAATCAGATAAATAATCTTAGTGGTGCTGAAGTTAACAAATGCATTTGTGTTGACTGTGATATTGGTTTGTGATGACCTAGTCAATTTGCTGGGTTAGATAAATTTGCACGCCTTGCAGTAACCACAGCGATAGGTACCTTGGTGGGAGTTAGCCAGTGTGGTTCTGTACGTTTTTTCTCACGATGACTATGTACAAGTAGCTCATGGAGATTCTTGGATTGATGGGCTGTAATTGATGGATACTTGGGCAGTGTTTCACTGAGGACCTGATTATGTGTCAAGATTGGCCAGTATTTTTTGAGGATATGCGTCATGGTGGACCAACCGCTATCAAATGTCGCAATGCATCTGATGGTTTTACCTGGTGGTGGCCTTCTGAGTTCTGAGACTAGATGCTCTGTCTGTGAGGCGTACTTTGTTGTATGTTCTTTTGAGTACCTTGTTGGGGTATCCAAGTGGCCTAAATCTCTTTCTGAGTTCCTGACATTCCAAGATGAAGTTGTTGTCATTGGGGAAGTTCCTGCACACATGCAGATACTGGCCGTACGGAATGGAGGATTTCAGCCTGCGGGGATGATGACTTTCCCAGTGCAGAAAACTGATGGTGGATGTTGTTTTTCTGTACAGTTGTGTTTGTAAAGTACCATTTGGGGACAGCATGATTTTTAAGTCAATAAAAATCATCTAATGTTTATGGATTACATGGGTAAGTGAAAGATAAATGTCATTAATGTCATATTCCTCAAATGTAGAAATGGACCCAGTCCATTGGAGTAGCATGTCATCTATATACCTGTACCAGTGTAGTATATACTGTTGGTATTTGGTATACATTGAAAAACAGGTGACATGCTGCTCCCACCAGCCCAAGAAGAGATTAGCGAAGCTAAGGGCACAAGCTGTGCCTATAGCGATGCCGGTCACTTGTAGATAGTATTTGTCACCAAAGATAAAATAATTGTGAGTAAGGACAAATGTTAAAAGTGATATGACAAAGTCCTTTTGAGGATCATCATATGATGTTTGATCCAAGAAGAACTTGCAAGCAGAAATACCCTTTTGATGTGGTATATTGCTATACAGGGAGACAACATTGAGGCTGGCCAGTAAGGTGTAAGGTGGGACTTGAAGGTTTTCTAATGCCAATAAAGTATCCTTTGTGTCTTGGAGATAGGATCGTAAATCTTTTACCAAGGGATGAAGGATGCTATCCACAAATTTTCTGGGTCTTTCTGTAAGGCAACAATTACCAGACACAATGTTTTTATGGACCTTGGGCAGATAGTAGAATGTAGCCACATCGGTAGGAGATAGTTAAACTCTTGTGAGGTAATGAGTTTTTTTTTATCATAAGCATTTGTCACCAGCGTTTTAAGTTCAGACAGGAATTCAGTGGTAGGGTCTGAGGTTAGCAGATGGTAGGTTTGATGATCATTAAGATGGTCCGTACACGTGTTTATGTATTTTTCCCGTTTTAATAATACGATGTTACCACCTTTGTCGGCGGGCTTTATAATCGTATTATCTTCTTCTTTAAGTTCCTTCAGAGTCTATGTTCATTCCAAGTGAGATTGCAAGTGAGAGGTTTAACAGTTGTACTCTTATCCAGATCTTCAGTGGTTAATTGAACAAATAGATAGACATGAGGAACCTCACTGAGATTGGGCGTATATCAACTGCCAGGTTTTAATTTGGTTACAGGTGTAGAAGGATCTTGTTCATCAAGTAGTTCCATAAGGGTATGGACCAGGTCTTGTGGAGTCAAGTCCATCTTGGTGGCAGTTTTGCAATTCTTGTGTTTGTGCAATACGTCTAGGGCTAGCTTGCATCCAAATAGATGGATGTCTTTGGACCACTCAAACTTGTCCCAAGATGGAGTGGGGATGAATGATAGGCCTTTATTTAACAGGGAGAGATGTCTGGGAAGGAGTGTGAAGTCAGATAAATTAATGATTTTGTTGGAGTTAGAGGTTAAGGTCTGGGGTGAAATTTGTAGGCCCACCTTTCTCTGTCCCGTAGTTTTGTTCTCTGTCTGCGTGATGAGTCCTGGTCTGAAAAAAACAAGGAAGATGTGGTGGTGAGAGTAGAGTCAGCAGTATTAATAGGTATGGGGGAGTCTAGGAATGACACTGATTTATCAGTGTTTTTCAAGATACCTCTATTGTTAGTGAGTTGATTTGTTCGATCTCTGTGACTAGACCTGATCTGGGACAATAATTACTTCCCAAGTCTGACCAGTCTGACTTCGTTGAGATAGAGCTTGTGCAGCTATTAGCGCATCTACTATTTATTTCAGTTTAGGTAGAAAGCTATAAAACAAATCACTTATCAGTTCCTTGCATATCTCTTCTATTTTTAACATTTTATAGAATAACTCAGGAAATGCACTTACTGTAACATTTGTTGAAAGATCGGAGCTTTAGAATTTCTTGAAGGGGCAAAAAAAAAAAAACTGTCACATTTTTTATATAAATAAAATGGCTACCATTATGTTGGGTAATGGTAAACAGTATTTAGAAGATACAAAATGTGCTTTCTCTGTGAGTGTCGGTAGGAACTTCAACATCTTAAATGCACCATGAGGCTTGCAAGGCAAGTTGTTCGGGTCACATCATAAGTACTCGTTTTCAGCAATATCACTGCCAGACTTGTTGTATTTCTGTGCTGTCTTACTCATTATGCCTCCTATACAATCATAAAGGTAAAAACAAAAACAAACTGTTTCTAGAGAGAGGGCACTCCGAACCAGATACAGATGAACAAATTAAGCAAGTGAATGGATTTGAGAGAGAGCAACTATTGGATTATAAACAAAGATCTATAAATAGAAATGACATTGAAGAACAGGTTCCTTTAATTCTAGATTTTAGTAGTGATTCTAATATTTTAAACATAATTATTAGAAAAAAATTGCATATTTTATCTCAGGATGAAGATATTGCACAATATATAGGTGAAAAAAACAAAAACAGTATATAGGGGAGCACGGAATATAAAACAAATTGTAACTACAAGCTATAGAAAAAGAGAATTTTTTTTTTTTTTAGGTGATTTTAGAAAATTAAATAAAGGATTTTTTTATTGTGATAATTTTATGGGTTGCACCATATCTAGAGTAGAAAATAAAAATAGAGAAATGTTTACATCTATGGTTACTAGTGCCGGTGCAAGGATTTTTGGGTACTTAGGTGAATATGCATTTTCCTGACCCCCCCCCCCTAAAAATAACATCTTCACTTATGTGCCTCTTAACCAGCCCCTCCCCGTCCACTAGTTGTCCCCTACCTTCCATGCCCCTTAGTGTTCTTCTA